GTGGTTCTAACCATTGTATGAATCAATATGTTGGTTGTACACTTGTACGTAGCATTTGCTATACTTTATAACATACGTAAACTGTAAACATAGTTGATTTTGGATGTATGGCCTTGATCCAGTAACATATATTAGTAGTAAAAACACTTTTGAAAATTTTATAATGTTAGGAACTCATACCAAAAACACGCTTAAATCAGTGTAATTAGTGTATTTTTGTCATGACTTTGTAAATTTAAACAATTTTTAGAAGTGTTTTTAATCCTGAATTGTTTTAAAGAGTAGTTTTTGATATTGTTAAAAAAAAAAAAAACAAACAAACAAACAAAAAAAAATATTGTTTGCAACGATTAGACATTTTCCCTCTCTGCTTTATATTAAATTGTTGTAAATAATATATAACTGATGAAGTAGTTTTTGACAAATTTTCTTAAATAAATCCGCAAATTGAACTTAAAAAACTGCACGAAGGGCTATAATTGTCATTTGAGCCAAACTGGATAGGATAGAGTGATAAACCCCCGATTCCAGAAGAAAGGAAGACGAAAGATAGAAGTTCTCTCTCTCTCACAGATATAGAGTTGAACCAACAATGGCGTCTGCATTCTCTGCAACTTTGGCATTTTCATGCGCAACTCTTAAACCCAATCAAAACCCGCTTTCTTTGAATGCTCCTCTTTCTAAACCCTTTTCAAGCTTCGCTTCACCCCTTTCTCTTTCTCCTCTAAGACTCTCACTTTTCACTGTTGCAGCCAAAAGGCGCAGATTGCCTGAAATCCCAGATGAATTGAAGGATGAATATGAAAAAATGAGGGATGAATTTGAAGAATTCAAAAGACCCCCTAATCAAAAACCTCAACTTTCTGATATTTTGCCTGAAGATTTTCAACCTCCTGAGCCTGGTTCTCCTGAATACGAAGCAATTCTTGAGAAGTATCTGCCCAAAAGACAACCTCCTCCTCCTCGTGAAGAGATTTTTGCTGTTGTTGTGGTGGGTTTTCTTTTAATTTTTTAATTCTGGGATTTTGATTGCTTAATCATTTTATATAACGCCCTAGTGATTAATTCGATATTAAGTATTTGTTCATTGGTTTTGTTAATTATGATTGTTTTTTGGTGCAAATTAATTGGGTTTTTTGGTTTTTTGAATTAGAGTAAAAGATTGGTAAATTGTCACTGATTTGATGTGCAATTCAGTAGATTATTATTATTATTTGGGGGAAAAATGAGCAAAATTATCAGATTACTGTCTTTTCTGTGATTAATTTTGATGTGTTATGTTCTGTTCTTATAGGTTGGTTCTAGGCAGTACATTGTCATTCCTGGACGATGGATTTACACCCAGAGACTCAAAGGTGCTAATGTCAATGATAAGGTAAGGTTTTGGCTTGAGTGTCTATTGATTTGGAGACCACCTTTCCAGATTATTCCTATTACTACTATGTAGTGGAATGTTTACTCTAGGACATCCATTACTTATTACAAATCTACAGTGCAATTGTTGGTGGCTTCATGGCTTGAATTGATGTGTTCTTCTTATCTTCTAGGCTGTTATGCAAGATAGTGTGGCTTACTATAAGAACTGGAAGATAAAAGAATTGGGTGGCTGTAATCTGCTCTAGCCTTATGTTGAATGTGACTGTTTTGGTGATATTTTTTGAGTTATTAAGTAAAATTGGGAATTCTCCTGGATCTGTGTGTGCAAATTTGATGAATGTAGCATGTGATGATGATTTATGGTAGTGGAAATGGAACTGGAACATTTAGTGGATCATAATGATGATATTTAGTTTTGAAATGGTCCCTTTTTTTTAATATAGGTTTGTGTTTGTTGAGAATAAGTAGGCTGTTTGTATCTCTGAGGCTGAGAAATTAGTTGGGTGCAGGTTCTTGTACTGTGTCTGAGGTATAAAAGGATCTTAAAAATTGATTTCCTATAACACACGGAGTCGAGCTAGTATAGTGTTCTGTATAATTCTGTATGTACTAGCAAGATCAGCTATATCTTCTTTTCAAGGCCGAAGAGAAAACAAAAAAAGGAGACCATACAAAGCTGCTCCCATTGTCTTTCTGTCTGTTTCTTGCTTGGATATGAACAGGAGCTCTTCCAATTTCTTATAGTACTTAATAGCATTAGAAGTGTGAGAGCATGGATGTGGTTATAATTGGTAGTTTCTTTATTGTGTGTATTTTTCAAGCAAAGTCATATTGTATAGCTAGAGTGTTATGTTCATTGTGAGGGTATGGATGTGGTTATCTAAATATCTAATTGTATATAGCATTGTTCTAAGCTCCCGTGAGCTGTTCATTGTGTTCCCTGCTTGCTTTCTTAACTACTGTCTCTGTGAGAATTTGCTTTGCCTCGTGACTTCCTTATCAGTGCTTTATGTCGTATGCAGGGCATTGGCTCAGAAATCTTGTATAACCCCAAACCCATGAAAAAGTGTTATTTGAAATTTGCAAATTATCAGTTATTATCTGTTTTCAGTCTCTTAATGGAGTCAGTGAGTTCAAATCTTCTGTCCCATTATATGTACTGCTTAAATCTATCTTCTCTCAAACAAATCACCTAACTTCTTATGAAAATAGGAATCATTACACAAAATTGAACCAAATTGGTGTATGAACGAGAGCTCATCCAATGTTCTATAGTACCTGATAGCATTAAAAGTGTGAGGGTACGGATGTGACAGTAATGGATAGTTTCTTTCTTTTGTGCATTTCTCAAGTGAAATCATAGCATATAGCTAGTGTTATATTGTTTGTTTAATTGTATAACGTTGTTCTAAGCTCCCTTGAGTTACTTATTGTGTTTCCCGCTTGGTTCGTAAGTATTTGCCTCTATCAAAATCTGCTTTGTCTCATGTCTCTTTTACTAGTGCTCTAAGCATTGCACCTCTGGTAACCTCCCAGTCTCCAATATCAACTATCAACTTTCATATTTGTTAATTGAAGAGGCTTCTTAAAGCTAAAGTTCACTATTTTGCAGATTGTTCTGAACAAAGTTTTGCTAGTGGGAACTAAATCTAGCACCTACATAGGAATGCCCATCGTCACAAATGCTGCAGTACATGCTGTTGTAGAAGAACAGGTAGCGTAATGTCTTCTTTTATCTTCTTCCACCAATTAATCACCAATAAAATCATGAAATCCTCAATATTACTGGTGCTGTTGTTCCTGCAGTTGCTTGATGACAAAGTTATTGTCTTCAAATATAAGAAGAAGAAGAACTACAGAAGAAATATTGGTCATAGACAGGTATCTAAGTTATTTCCTATTTGACTAAAATATCAGTTATCAGCATTTTCTAGTAATTAATTTACATTTTGGCTTCTGTATGCAGCCCATCACTCGTATTAAGATAACAGGAATCACTGGTTATGAAGATTACCCAGCTTCTACTCTAGAAGCCGAAGCAGAGGCAGAGTCAAAGGCAGAGGCTGTTTCAAGCTAAGTAACAAATCTGCTGCATACTGCCCTTTTTTTCTTTTTCTTTTTTTTTTTTTAATTTATTCCACCAGTAGGTTTTTGATTCTTGCAGTGTCATCTTTTTGCCGAAGTTTAGGCTGTTTGTAAGGTTTAATTTGATAGGATCGATATTGGAAGAACTATGGTTGGCCAGAGTTTACTGTATATTTCTCCAACTGAAGGAGCATGATGTAAATTAATGCATCCAAATGAAAGTATTAAATTTTGCAGTGAAGGCTTCAATACTGTAGAGCTGATCATGTAAGCCCGAAGCAATTTGTTTGATTTAGACTCGGTTTGAACCCAGCTGATTGACTGGGCATTCATTTGCTGGCGTGTTAAGGTCTGAACTTTTAATATACATTTCCTATAAGTTTTAATTACTTAGGCACACTCAGCCCAAGTTTACTGGGTACGATGAGCTTCACTCGTGAAATAAAAGTTAAGATGCTTTAGAAAAACACAGAAAACTTCACTATTGTGCAAATTTTTGACTCAGCTCCAACATCTAATTAACAGAAATTATGTGCTTCCTCTTGTATCATGGATTCCTTTTGGAACATTATACAAAACCTGTTTGCAAATTCATGGATTTTTGTTGGATCACAGTACAGAAGTTCATCACACAAATCAATATGTTCTCTCTCTCTCTTTTTTTTTTTTTTTTAGGAAATCATGTTGTGAATATTTATTTATTTACTGTGATAATTTTCACTCACAGTAAATTATTACGAGTATTATTTTGTAAAGATATCTTTTTTGTTAAAACATAAATGATATACTTTCATTTTGTAAAGATATTATTTATGTTAAGATATGATTTTGTGAATAATATCTTTATACAATTGATATCTTTTATTATCGTTAGGAATTTCTAAGGTGCTGGAATTGTTTCTTAATAATTTAATCAAGTTGAATTCTTTTTCTTATAAAAACAAGCAACCAAGTTCTAAGGCTACTTGTATAAATACCTCGTTTATTCAATATAAGTGGTGGGTTAAACGTAGGATTAAAAAAAAAAAAAAAAAAGAGTTATCAATCAATTATGAATAGATTGTACAAAAAGTATTATGTGAGACGGAGTCATAAATTAAAACAAAAGCGGTCCCAATTTGAAGAAATCCCGATACCAATAATTTGGGATATTTTGTCAAAACTTCCTACAAGAACATGCTTGATTTGTAAGCTTGTATGCAAAGATTGGTATAACATCATCAGCGATCCTGAATTTGCCGATTTACGGCGTTCTCAGGGCTGCTATATCTCTCTATTGCTTCGCGATATATCCCATAAAAGTGATACTATTATGCTGGTTGACATAGAAAAAACCTCAACAAGTATTGTCGATGAGATGGGTAATCTTAATACTAATAATATCGATTCAGTTATGGAGCTGAAACCCCTATTAGTGAAGAAACTTACTATGATTAATGAATTTAATGGTGTTATCTTATTTGCTAGGCATAAATCTAATGGCTGTTTTTATGTCATCCATCAACCATACCCGTACACAAGGTTGTTATAATGTATATATGGTAGGGATTGGATGCTGCCCTGTGTCACGCAAATTGAAACTGCTTAGAGTTGTATTCCACATAGAAAAGCGAAGAAGAAAGGTTGCGCAAGTTAAAACAGTCGGTACTAATGAATGGAGGAATGTTGATAAAAGAACACCACTTCCACGCGAGTTTTATAAAAGTGGGTATACTGATATTCCAGTTTACTTGAACGACTCGATTCATATGTACTCCAGTGAGGATAATTGTATATGGTCATTTCATTTTGGAACTGAGAAATTTTCGGCTATTCCATTACCTGATGGTATGAGGGCAGGGACACGGGTTTGTCTGTGTGTTTTAGATTCTTGCCTCTGTTTGAATACAATGGACAAATGGGGTGCAACGGCAATGGAGGAACTTAATATTTGTTCTCACAACATATGGATTATGAAGTATTATGGGGTGAAAGATTCTTGGGTTAAACAATTCGTAGTGTTTCATCCAGATCAATTTTATTCTTTGCCTTTATGGTATAATGATAAGGAGAAAGTGTTGGTTTCTTGTGGTTATACAGGTATTAGGGTATATGATGTTGGTTCTAAAACTAGTGAAAAGGTACATGTTCTTGGATTTTCTCATGTTGAAGCAACTGTATTCAATCCGATGTTTAACAAGTTACAATGGTCAGATGAGGAAGAGGAAGAGGAATTGAATGAAGTTGAAATTGAAAGAGCAGTCAGAAGAGAGCAGTCGGAAGAGGAAGAGGAAGAGGAAGAGGAAGATGATGAATTGTAGTCAAGTTTTTTTAGTTGGGGATATCGTTTAGCTGCTGGCTTCACAAGATTTGTTAAGGAGAAGGCTGAGTATGCTAGGCGCGTACTCAACGTACTCCTTAACAAATCATTTAGAGTTTGTTTTATTTACCTTATTATTTTAAATAATATGTACTGTATTTTTTTGATAAATTAAATTATAAAATAATATTTAAAAATTGTTTAAAAGATCTTACACAAAATTGAAGTATTTGATAAAATAATGAAATATTACGTTAATTTTTTATTTTTGTAAGGAAAGGTAGAAATCTATATTTTCATTTTAAGGAAAGGTAGCATGAGCATTTTATTAATTGACATCAAGTTTGTGGAAATCATATCCGAGTTAGCAACTAAGGCCCTGTTCCAGCTCTGCTCTGTTGAAATCTATTCTACTCTACTTTGTCCTGCTTTGCCCTGCCAGAAGCTCAAAAGAACTAAGGCCTAAGTGAGCTACGACTTACACGTCCGACTAGCATGAGAAAAAGGCACGGTTATCAAAGAGTAAGCAATCCTAAGGCATAAAAAAATCATGCTCACCTTAATAAATTTCAACTCTCTATATGAGTAGTCCGTAAAAAAATCAATTTTATATAGTGGAATTGATTCATTACATTAATCTACGGTTTACTAATATTATGAGAAAATTAAAACATATTATACTGGACTAATCTATTAGTTATTACGGAAAACTAAAACAAAACATTGCTCACATCATTTTTTTTTCAAAATTGTATACATGTCGCTTTTTTTTCAAAATTGTATACATGTCGCTTTTTTATGAAATTTTTTCCCGCCTAAAACCATTGATGATGTCATTTTATTTATTTATTTTTTTTTGTAATACTTTATAAACAAACTAAGTACGGAGTAAATTCTTTCAACAACTTTAATCTAGAAAATCAAAGTATAATAAATTGAATATCAACTGTATTCCTTCCAATAAATTTATGATAAAATTTAAAGATTCATTGTAAATAAAAGTTATACACTGCAATTTTTTTTGTAGATGTTTATTTTATATATAACTTTTTTTTTGAAGCCATATTTTATATATAACTAGGTTAGGTCCCGTGCCATGCACGAGAATTTTTAATAACTATTTTTAAATTAACAATGAATTTTTCTTTCCTAAAAAAAACAATGAATTTTTCTAAAGTATTATACGGAGTAATGAATTTATTATAAAAGACCCTATAATTAATTATTATAAAATAGCCTATTAGCCAGATACCTATTTTTAAGACGCATTTGACAATATGTGTATTACTATATATTTAGTTTTATCAAATATTGGTTTAATTTTCTTGTTAACCAAATGGATTTCTTAAAATGTTGTAAATTACACTCTATAGTCATTATGTATGTCACAAATTATGTTAAAAACCTGATTTTTTTTTCTCTTAAATTTGTAGTTGTTAATAATTTGTAGAAGGATATATCAAATTTTTTATTTTATTTATTTTTTTAATATTTGAAATTCAAATTACTTTTTTAGAGATTTTTAACATATAACTAATAATTAAATAAAATAAATAAAATTATTGTTGTAATACGTAGTACATAACATTATGGCACAATTATGTTAAAAATCTAATTTACTTTTTTTTTTACTTAAGTTTATATATTTGTCAATGTACTCCACTTCTCTATATATATTATGGAAAGACATATCAAATCTCTTATTTATATATTATTTTGCTATCTTTTTATATATGTATAAGATTTGTCAAATCTTTTCTTTATGTATTATTTTGCTATCTTTTTATTTATGTATAAGATTTGTCAAATCTTTTCTTTTTGTATTATTTTGCTATCTTTTTATTTATGTATAAGATTTGTCAAATCTTTTCTTTATGTATTATTTTGCTATCTTTTTATTTATGTATTAGATTTGTTTACGAAAGATTTAAAAAAAAAAAACTAAAGGACACACCAGAAAATGACACGTGTCATTGCTGGTGTGTCTTTTAGTATATACTAGTAGCCCGTGCGATGCACGGTTTATAAATCAAATTATTAAACCCGTAGGAAAAATAAAAATAAAAACAAAGGTAAAACTATTAAAGGACTTGGTTACTAATGGTCAATAAAAAAAATTAAAGGAACGTTATTTGAAAAGTATTTTATGTTATTTGAATTTCTTTTAATTTTTTATAATGTTATTTTATTAATTGAAAAATAATTGAATAATACTCCACATAGCTATATAAGAAGTGGACTAATTTATTTATATCTCCTGTTGAGAAAAAACTAAAATTTTCTTATCATACCATCCGCATCAGTAGCTACAATCAATCTAATATATACATGTTTTATTTACCCGTCGCACTCATTAAATTTATAGACACAATAATAACCTTATATTTGACCTACCAGAACATATATTTTCCTAAGTTAACCATTGTACCAAAAACTATATATTATATAATAGTCACATATATAACCAACAACTGATTAAATATAGTATACAACACAAATACTTCGTATATAGGTTGGATACTGATAATTTTATATATTTTTACATATATTTTCCCCATTTAATTTTAAAAGCCTTAAAATTGTCTCTTGAATATAATTCGCTAAATTGATTTAGAAGGTTATGTTTATTTCAATATTTAAAGTCATTTACTATTTTCATTTCCTTTTGTTTTAATTTTTCTATTTAGAATTTATTAGACTATTAGGTTTCAAGATCAAAGTCAATATCTTTTTACTGTACAATCACTAAATCAAAGTCGCTCAACTAAAGTTTTGGACATTGCATAGCTACACAACATCCAACACATTTAATGATTACATGCAAATAATTTTAATAACACTACGCATTCCATATAAGTTATTAAAAAATTTAACTATATATATACATTTTGATAGGTTTATATCTTTCATACTAACAAAAATTTACAAATGTTATTATTATATTTTGAAAAAAAAAATAGACTTTGGAGTTTTGTATAAGATAGATAAAGGATAAGTTAATTCCCGTCATATATGCATTGAGTTTTGGGTGTTATATCCGGTTAATCCTTTGGGCTAATCCAGATTTGAGGATCAATTCTAGGTTATTAGGTTTCATTCCCCTTCCGATTGTTGTTGCAGGGGAGCGATCACAGGTCCTCGCTACCTAGTGTAGTCTCAGTCACCACTACACCAACAACCAATTGGTGTAGTGGTGATTGAGCTGAGACTACACTTGGTATGAAGGACACGTGTTATAAAATATTATATTATATACATATACTTTTTTATATTATAAAAATATTATATTATATACACATACTATGACAGTATATCTAGTATAGTACATGAGCAATGCACGATTTTTAAATTAAAATGTTAGTTTTTTTAAAAAAAAAAAATCATAAGTAATAGCATTGTTATTACGAATATTACAATTTAAAACACGAGTAATTGATATGTCTATTTTATATAGTGTTTTATCCCCGTCCCTTGGTCGTTATTAGTAGTGTTTTTGGCTCTTTCGGGCCATTTAAGAGAGACCAAATAAGAAAAATCACTAAACAAAAAGAGAGACCACTTAAGAAAGAATCATTATTTAAGAAAACAAGAAAAAATAGCTTAGGAGAAAGAGTTACTAAATGTTAGAGAGAGAGAGATATTACAAACATCACGACATCATTTTGATCTAACATCACGCCCACGATTTTCACAAATTACATATCAAAACGATGTACATAATTTCCACTAATTACATATCAAAATGATAAAACATAACAAGTGATTACAAAACTTCCTTTATTTAACACATACTCTTGAAATAGAATTAACTCTATAATAAAATAAATTTTACTAAGTATGTTCCTATTAATTTCACCTCAAATGAATACAATGAATATTTTTGTTGGTTAGCATGAGTAGTTACGATGTAGTTATTACACCGCTATATTGGATGATATACATGTTATAGGTTTGAAATATTTTAAGGTGAGAGAGGGTGAGAGAGAGAGAGAGAGATATCACTCAAAAGGAGAAAAAGATCATTTAAGAAAGAGAGAGATAGACAACTTAATTAAGAACATTGCTTAAGAAAATCAATTCAATTAGTTTAGGGGGAGAAAGAGACCACTTAAGAAAGATTACTTAAGAAAATTAGATTAATTAGCTAAACAACATTGATTAAAATTATCCATTACTCTTTATCTTGTTGTACGATTAAAATCACCCATCTTCAGCTATTAGAAGGAGATAGATAAAGTTCGTTGTTAAATTGTTATATTGTTTGGGTGATGCTCGCTGCTTTCCCTATTCTTGCTTAATATTGCCATTGTCGTTGTTGTTCCTGCTGTATATTGCTGCTGATGTTCTTGTTGTGGAGTATTATTTTTGCTAAATTGAAGACTATGGCAGCTCTCTCTAGATTTAAAAACTTGGTAGGGTTTTTTTTTTTTTTTTTTAATTTTTTTATTTAGTGATATTCAAATTGTAATTTTCCCTAAGGGCAACGATGTACCCTCAATTTATATAAATTTACATAAATGTTGCACATTATGCATTATTTCATCAACAACTCAAATTGTTGCAAATATAAGCTTTAAAACCATTAAGGTATTGATTGGTTGACTTAAATTCATATGGGTATTGGACTTCTTGTTTGGTTGACACAAAAAAGTGAAAATGAGAGCAATGACAATTTATAGGAATTTTTTACCTTTCTCAAAACATGAAAATTTACTTGCCTAAAGTTAAATTTATTTCCTCCATTTCCAACAATCAAACAAGTTTGATAAATTCCGATAATTTTGATGAAGGAATTTAATTCCTACAACTTGAAATTTCATATGAATTTTCATTTCCCTAATATACCAAACGACAACTCACTAAAATGAAGAAATAAGAAGAAACAGAAGAAAATGAGAGAGTGTATGTGGGGAAATTTAAGGTGGGAGAATACTTTTTAGGGTGTAATTGTGTAAGGAGATGAAAGTACTTTTTAGAAAAAAAAAAAGAGATATTATGTGT